CTGCGCTGGTGGCTGGGGATTGGGCCGAGCCCCTGCCCGCCCGCTGCAGGGCATCCATCTCTCCGTGGGCGCAGCCGGCCAGACCGCGGAAGCCGCCCAGACGCTGCTCAGCGCACAGGCGGACAGGTGCCAACCCCACCCAGCGCCCGCGGTCACTTCCAGGAACCTGGACAAGAGCTGCCAGCCCGCGGCCAGGGCCGGAGGCATTCCCAGAAACGACACGCGCACTGGAGCACAGTGGGGGCCCCACCCAAGGCCGGCTGCCGCCCCCCATCCTCGCCCCGCACCCCTAGAAAGGAAGGCTGGGGGACATCACCTGAAAGCTGGCCTCAAGATGGCACGTGCCCAGGCCCTCTGGGAGGATAGGAAGGGGCCCTGGCCATGCCCATGCCTCAGGCTGTGGGCCTGGGCCTGCCCCACCTCTTGGTTCCAGGGAGCCAGGAGGGGTCTCCAGTGGCTGCCCCTCACCCCCACTCCACCCCCACCTCCAGGTTTGCCCACAGGGCTCTGTCATCCCTACCCCCCACCCCTTTGCACTCACTATTGATCATCAAAAGGTGGACAGTTTGGGCTTCATCCAGATGCGCCTTGGAAAATAGGCCTGGCTTCTGCTTCCGGGAGGTCACTCAACTACACTCGCTGCCACAGAGTCCACAGGACAGGGCACAACCGTCCCTGTGGGTTTCCAAGACGGCAACTCTTTATGGGAGTAGCGAGCCTCATCTTCTTCCCGTGGAGGAGCAGGTGGTTTTGAACTGCTGGCCTTTCCGGTGAGCAGCTCAACCCATTACTACTATGGCCCCAGAGTTCCTGTCCAGGAGGCCACGGTCATTGAGAACGTTGTGGAGCGTCTGTGTCTGCACACACGGGGCCCCTGTGAGTGAGCAGACTCAGCAGACACTGCTGCCGTTACACACAAAGCTCACAAGGGTGGGGGAGGGGGCACACAGACACACCTTGCCCTCACTCATCTGTGACCCATAAGTCTTTCAGGAGTCCCACTGCCATCGAGTTGATGATGCTGACTCACAGCGACCCTATGGGGCAGGATAGAACTGCCCCCTTTGGGTTTCCAAGGGTGCAGAAAGCCTGTCTCTCTCGGAGAGCCTGGTGACTTGGCAGTGCTGATCTTGTGGTTAGGCAGGCTCGTAACCATCACGGCACCGCTGAATAAAAAGGGTTTGGACGTTTCGGCGGATTTTGCTAAATGGAAAGGCTGTTCCAGCTTCCACTCTTGTGTGTGTGTGTGTCCTGCCTTGTGTGTGTGTGTGTGTGTGTGTGTGTGTGTGCCCTGCCTTGTGTTTCCTAAAGCAGGTGAGCAGGTGGTGGGACTGTGAGGTCACCCTCTGTGATCCATGCCACACCTAGCTCAGGCCAGCCCTGGGGCCTCCGTGGCTTCCGTCCACTGTGCTCGTGGGCTGCAGGGACACCAACCCAACGGGGACAGCTCAGGCCAGTGGCTCTAATTCCCCTCATTCCTTCGTCACACCACCGTGGGGAAGAAGGGGTGTGGACAGAGCCCAGAGACATTCTTGGTGGACCCAGAAGCCCCCTGTGCACACAGCAGAGGAGTCCAAGCAGCTCCTCTGCCCGCCCCCCCCTCCATCTCCCTGCAGTGGCTGGGTCTGAGTGGGCTGTCTTCACAGGTTCTGAGTGACCATG